TTGACGTCGTTACGAGTCACGACAGTTTATCAAGTTTTTGGGACGGACCAGCTTCCATTTATAGAAACATCGCTAGTGTTTTTCACATCGTTCTACTCGTAGCTCTCCGATCACTCAGCCTTTTTGTTCTCCTTCTGAACGGGAGTGACGGGCGCGACAAGCCTGTCTCAAAAGTCCAGAATATTTTGATAATCTCTTTGAGTTGTTCACTCTCTTCCGTTTTCAGTGGTCGCACATTTCCCTGAAACTTTGCAGTATATCCAAAAGTACGACAACCTCACAGTCGAATCGTAGTAATCGATTAATTGATTTTATGGTGCAGGTGTAGAACCGGTTTGCTGCCTTTCAAGAGCTGAGCCTTTGAAGGGATGAGTTGTAATCTAACCACGTACATGACGGGGTGTATCACATAATGGCATGGAAAAATCTGTATTGTAAGATAGCTGGTGACGTCACAGAACACGTCATTAACGCGTTATGTGACGTCTGTGACACGCCATCCAACTCTTAGTGACCGGCTGCTACACCAGCGTCGAACTACCCTAACATTTCCCCTTTTTCCAGAGATGATTTACATTATTTTATCCTCATTACTGGTGGTCGGAGTTCGATCCATGACAGATCATGAAGACCGTCAGATAATCCTCACAGCACATGGCATGAGCATAGATGACGTCGACAACCGAATTGTTATACCAAGTAAGTTTTAGAGTTGTTGAAAAAGAGGGGGCAGCCTACCAGTGCACGTTTTCCTCTTTTCTGAGTGCAAACACTTGCCGGCTGAAGTCAGCTGTGCTGAACCCTGAGGACGCCGGCCGGTCGCGAAGCGCCGACGTCCAAGTGAACGGAACTCTTTACGCTTTCGGTAGCGAAAGCGTCTGAACATTGAGTTTTCGCTAGGATTTCCCCAGCAGTTACATAAGCTGGACAGGGGGCGTGACGTTTTGTGCTAGCTGGCCGCTACGCGACCGCACGCGTCTCATCCATCCTTTTACCGCTGTACTGGTCGCCCCATATTGTAAGCTACTTCCAACGCTGTCGCAGCTTTTCCATGTTTCTGGTCTCATTCCACAGAACAGCCATGCTTGAAAAATCGGGATAGAACACATTCAAAATGTTATTAAAAATTTGAAATTGGTTAAAGATCGTATAATAAATGCGACATTGACTTACTCAGTACAGGAGCACGGACGCATGACCTCCGCTGCCTGGTATTACTGGCAAATGCAGGCAAATATTGAAGCCACGGAGCAGACGTCACCCAAGCAGACCTTTCCACTATCAATGCAGCGCAATGGTACAGCCGTGAGCAACGGAAGTTGGTGGTGAAAGGTCGCATGGAATAGTGCCACCTGGAAATGCAGCCCCTCCCGGCTTTCAGGTCTCAGGAGAAGTGTAGTGCATGTCACGAATGCCCTCTATAGAACCCCGTACTGAATCGTGCTTCTACGTGCATAAGGGGAGATCGGGCGTGGTTGCACGAGTTGTTACTTGATGGTATCAGCCCCTTCGACACCAACGAAACCACCCCCCCCCCCCCCCCCCCCCCCCCCCCCCCCCCCCCCCCCCCCCCCCCCCCCCCCCCCCCCCCCCCCCCCCCCCCCCCCCCCCCCCCCCCCCCCCCCCCCCCCCCCCCCCCCCCCCCCCCCCCCCCCCCCCCCCCCCCCCCCCCCCCCCCCCTCATTTGATCACTGGTAGTCGGAGCAATCGCACACCCAGAGAAGCTCTAGAAACTATGAATTTTGGTGTTGGCAATGCATGAGTGGGCGGGACATAGCTCTTTTATCCACCCGGCGTCTTTATCATGTAATTCTGAGCAGTAAAAGGTACATTCTCTACCTGCGCAACGGACTACCTTGCCCAAAGAAGGCATGTGCACAGAACCACGATGCGTGCCTTTACTAGATGATATTCATTTCATTATCTGGCATTTTATCTTTCCATAGCCTGTATTGCTGATGATCAATCGGTTATCCAACTGGGACGGACGTTCGTGCGAAATGGCATCATGCATAAATGTACCATCGTTGGCGATTCAGTAACGTATGAACAAGGTGAGCACTTCCGAAAAGTATCTTAAAAAAAGAAAAATCTTAAAAAAAATCTTAATCTTTCTTCTCTTGGAAAAAAACGAAGAGTAATCTCGATTGAACCTCCGCAGTCTGGCCCCACCAGGAGCCTAGATGTTGTTCGCCAGCAGCTGCTGGTCTAGCACAGGTCGTGATGAAAGCATCGTTGGGGAAATCCTAATCAGAGTCGTTCTTGTTTTGGTGGGTAGCAGTCGTATTGTTCTACAAGGCTAATACCCCCTTCTCCAGTTGGCAGCGCCCTCATAAAACTTTACTGTTGTTTTTTGGATAGCTGGAAATAGTACGAGTAGTTGTTCGATGAAGACTTTGATGGCAGAATTTCGAGGGAAAACTAGGAAGTTTTTGGGAAACTGGGAGAAGTAAAATATTGGATTCAGAAAGATGGTAGGTAGGATGAGAAAGGGATCGTACTAGAAGAAAACTTTGGGGTGGTGGGGGAGGAGGGGTTAAGGTTATCTGAACCGCACTTCCTCCCATCCAGATGCTGCATAGCCCGAGACGCTGTGCGGCCATTGCGTTCCTGTACGAGATGCAATACTGTTGTCATTGACGTCACATAACATCTTTTAAGAAACTAAGCGAAGGCTGTACCGGTTCTTGATCTTTTCAGAGTCCTAAATTCAAATGGACATTTAGTTTGAAGCTGTTTTGTTATGATAACTGCTGTTTAACGCCGCAGTACGCGTTCCGAATGTTATCACAAGAATGCTGAGTTGTGGGCAAAAGTCGTGCCCCAGGCGGGAGAGTCGAAGCTGAGAGGGTAAAAGGGCCCTGGTGCGTATAGCGGGATAGGCGCACTCGCCGTGAGGTGCGGGTTGACCTCCCGCCTGGGCACGCCTTTTGGCCTACAAATCAGCATTCTTGTGAATAATCAATAGAGCAGTGGTTCATTCAGTCATACTATAGGCTATCTCTGTTTCCCGCCAAAATGAGATGGACTCGATTCGGGTGACAAGGTCGGCGCCGAGAAGAAGAGCCGTCGCACCTGTCCTGTTGTGGGGATTTTTTCCTGCAACGTACAATCCCCCATTTCGAGATTCCACCTCTGATATGACCTCCTTACTCATCCTACCTAGAATTTCCTTACAATTTTTTCGAATTCTTCCCCCAGAACCTGGAAGCTGCCCCTCTGAGCTGCCAGCAGAAAGAAATGGCAAAAATACGACGCATCAGCTGGGAAGCCGATTTAGATGACCAAAGACGAACGTCTGTCGCTAACGTACGAACAGAGGACGACTCTAAACGTTCGACGTGGTTCTGTTGGCAATCATAATACCTGTGCGCTTATCAGGGAGCCTAGTTCAGGTGATGTCAAAAAGCGCTTAGAAGTTGTATAGGATAGGTACTAAACGCTGACAACTGAAGAACTTTGAAATGAGTGGCCTAGATATCCATTCAGAGCTCACAATCTCGGAATTTTTTGGCTTCAAAGCCCATTCCAAAGGATTATTCGAATCCCATTGCATTATCGTTTTCCCTTCATGTCTCTTTATGAGCTCATCGCAATAAGACGGATCGCAGTATTCTGCAGTCTCAGAGCACGTTCTCCTGCGTAAGAAGCTTCCATTGCGAGAAGGTTGTTTTGGTCGCTCCCACAGCAAAAGTCGTTCTTTGCCATTCCCTTTCACTGGCAGCTCGAGGGCAGTTTTCGGATTTCTGGGGAAGAGTAGAAATTTGAAAAAAACATTGTGAGGACTGTTATCATAAGAATGTTGAGTTGTGGGCAAAAGTCGTGCGCCCAGGAGGGGGAGTCCAACCCCACGCTCACGCTTTCGGCGGGCGAGTGCGCTATGCCGTCTACGGCCACCAGGCGCTTTTACCGCTCTCACTGGTCTTAACGGGCTTTTAATGGCCGTAAGCCTAATCAGCACTCACACGTTTAACTTTGTGACTAACGTGTGAGTGCTGATAGGCTACGGCATAAAAGCCGTTAAGCTGAGAGGGTAAAAGCGGCCCTGGTGGCGTAACGGATAGCGCACTCGCCCGGAAAGCGTGAGGTGCGGGTTCGACTCCCGCCTGGGGCACGACTTTTGCCCACAACTCAGCATTCTTGATGGGGAGGGTATCAATAATGCAAAGAGGAATGTTCGAAGAGCGTGGTCGTATTTGAGGAAAAATTCCATAACAAAGTGGCGGCTCGCACGCAGCGGTACAGCATGTGATGTGTGCAAGTGGTGGGGCTCAATAACGACACCCCCCACACGGAGCATAATACTACGTCCGCCCCCTTTACAACCCCTGGAACGAGAAAAATCAACCATCAAAATAAATTTTTTCTCGGCTCAAATGCATCCCCTTATCCGGGCGACCAGATACGGCCTCCTATGTGGGGGAACTTCCCATATATCCACAATCTACGCCTGGTGGCGGGAAGGAGGAGGGGGTAAAGCACCAATGAGGGAAAAACTGCGAAAAGTCAATAACCGGAAAGAATTTTTTCCCACAGCAACGCGGCAGATTTCTCTCAAAGGCACATACGACCGCCTCCCCGAATATGAGTAATTACAACCTCCCCTCCCCAGGGGAGAAGTACGACCCCTTCCCCATGTGTTCCACACAACGATGCTGTACCCTGTTGCCGACGCCTCCTCCGGGGCCGATGCCAGCGATTCGAGCCATCTCGTTTGGCGGAAACATGGGAAACTATTATAAAAGTCCGGGTTCAGACCTGTGGTTGAAAAGGTACAATCACATGAGGCAGTGTCAAGACTAGCAGAATGATTCCACCTGCCGATTGCTTTTCACCAACAGTGACCGATTTAAGATGAAAGCAGGCAGTGGTGAAAGGTAAAAATGTTGCGAGTGGGCTCATTTCGTGCCTTTGACACCGCTTTGTCTGATTGCGACAATATCAACTGAAAGAACGACGGGCTATGGTAGATTTCTAACAGTTGATATTTTACAGAAGCGATGTGCTTCGATAATGGTGTTCATTATTCGATTGGTGACACCTTCCGTAACGGATCATTCCGATTGACATGTGGACGAGATGGTATTATCATTGAAGGTGAGGATCAAAGGCTAGGGTTCGGTGATCCATCTGTTCCCATTATCATCGTTTCCACTTCAAGCGCGCCGAGCAAAGTAGTCCTTTGCTGCGCGGTTGACTCGCGCGGCAAACGACTAGGAAGTGTTACTTCCTAGTTGCAGTATCGTACTACGAGTTAATCTGAGCCCATGAGCGGCGCCGCTGTCATGTTGAGGGTTGGGTGGGTAGGTATCAAGACAATCGTAATGTGCCACGCGGGTGGGCGTGGCGATGCGACACGCATCGATAGACGAGTTTTGCCTGCCCTGGCAGCCTGAATTTACGGTTACAGGTGATAAAACGTTCTGTCCATGGAGTCCTGTCTCGGCTCTCGAATTCATAAGAGTTTCGCTGCCTCATTGACGAACTGATGCACACTGAGGACTTGACGTGGATTGCCGCACTATAGGCCGTGCGCGAAGACGCGGCAAACTACAATTGTCTTGCCATCGTCTCCTGTATTGGGGTCTTGGTGGCGTGATACTGCGGGCGGTTATCCGCGTGGCAGTCGCCTACAAATAATTGCTCCACGGCTGCAGGCCACTGCATCAATATTTTTGGTATTTATTTACTTTGCAAGCTATGTTTCAATAACCCGAGCACGATTGACTAATTGCCACTTTTTGTTCCTGTCCATGACAGTTTTGGGGCAAGTTCGGACTTGGTGCGGCCACACACCCAAATGCTCTCTTTAAACGGGAGACTACCATGTGAAGAACTGTCAAGTTCTGTAGCCAAAAAAGCTTACTTATACCATTCCGCAGCTTTGCAAGAGTTCACAGGTCTCGCCAAAGTCCTGTTAATTAACACCAACTAGCAAGTAAGCAACTAAGCGAAAAGTGCAAGATGCCCTTCCCAAGGACGAACAGTGCCCATTTTTGACACCAGAAAATTAGCGACCCTATTCCTATCTTTTTATGTTTACTGATTGAATGCAAAGACGCAATAAAAGTTCTTTCAGGGTGTTATATGGCAAAATTCTCGCTGAGTATTGACTGGCGGGTGAGTCAGAATTGTTAACAGACAACGGGCAGCGAGTGTGAAAGTGCTTGGTGATGGACGTGTAATTCAAGTAAAAGGTGAGTTGAATGATTCACACAGCGCGGAGTGGAAAAGGCAGGAATGAATTTCTACGAATTTGTTGGGTGCAGACTGTTTTTTTTTCAACAAGGAAGCATGTGTAACAGCAATTGCATGAAATTTGATTATGTGAAGTACTACACCAAAGGGATTATGGCGGTGGTCAGCAAACTGACTTCAGTAGCATTGATTAGTGCCCGCCGTACCACCAAAGAACAACGACGGTGGGGCAGGCCGGCGCATAAGAAAGTACATGAGGCGCATATCCCTAGTGAGCGGCTTGTTTGTCATATGCGAAATAAATGGACGCAAAGCCCTTATCACTCACTGTAAAGCAGGGAAAGTGGAGTCCCCAAGCTTGTGAAGAGATTGTTCTAAACTTCTCTGGCAGGTTTCTGTTATGACCGGCTGGGTGGACATGGGCGGGCCAAGTTGAAGGTGGGTCGGACGAATGAGAGGAACAACTGCTTGGGTACCCTCATCACTTGCTTTAGCCCCGACAACGTCGCATCCAATAGCGGAGCATGTAATGGAAACATATGTAGGAGTAGTTGCACAAAAGTTAATGATGTGGACACATTACACTGCCCACAAGCCTGATCATACATGATTGAGCTATCCGTGCACATCGAACAGAGCAGGGCTATCGATTATTTTATTGGCCTGGGCAGGAGCCCAGTGACTGAACAACTCCCTTTCCTCTATCGATTCTGTACATCAGCCAGTTAACAGCCAGTTAAATAATGACCAGTATTTCCCATCCTGATCCCTATTTTACCTCTTGGAACCAACACCCCAGCCTTGCTGTGACGCTCGTTCTGAATTTGCTGACTCTGCCCTAATGGGGCCGCTATCAGCTCCTATCAACTGCTATTATTTGCCTTGCGCACCGATAATAGTGGCTTCTGCCGACCACGGACCCCCCGCCCCCCCCACATCACCCATCAGTTTCGAGCCGGTCTATCGCTGTTGTTGAAGGGAGTTATGAAAAGCGTCAAACACCACACACAAAACACACCAACAGACTAAGCTTAGGCAGGATTAATAAGTAGGGATTATTTCAGTGATTGGATGTGTCCGTGATGGCCAGCAGTACAATATTGCTCAAGTATTCACTGATAGGCATGTCCGATACCAGTGCAAAAACGATGGATCACTTGATGTGCTAGGTGAGTTAGTCTGGTGTCAGCGATATTCGTAACGTGGCTCCTGGAACGGCAGAGCGTCAGACGATAATTCTCTAGGTACAGTAAGATGACGCCTCCAAAAAAGAAACTCATACGATGGTAGTGATCTGTGCCAGCGAGGTTAGGTGGAATTTCCGCCAACAGCCTGACATGTCGACTAGATCGTCGTCCTGGAGGGCCCAGACGCGGCTTAATGTTTATAGTTTGCCAACTTAACTGCTATGGCCACCTCCCCCCTTTTCCCTGCTTTCCAACGGAGGTTAGACCTCACCCTGATCACGTTTACCAGGGGAACTAGGTTTGCTCTTCAGTCCTTTTGGAAACTCTCCCAGTCAGCAGAACTCCCAGGACTGAATAAGAATCTTTCTGTTTTTTTTTCTAGCCATAAAACGTGCCACACAAGCTCATCGAAGTTGCATTTCAGGTTGTGTCGACGAGGGGCTTTTCCTTGATCTCGGGCGAGATCTCCTGATGAACGGAATGGTTCATCGATGTTACCAAGTCGGCATGACGACGTTCTATCACAATGGTTCGTTCCGTCGGGTAAGTCCGCTTAACTACCGCAACAACTATTAGGTTTCCGGAAGTCAGCGTTTTGTGTTACATTTTTTGTACATTCATTGCTGATTAAAAACTCATTCTCCCTTGCGTCTCAGTACATCCTGAAGAGAATTTTTTGCGCTATCTGATGGTATAATTGCCGTTTCACCATTGCTTGATAAACCCACTGGTGGATTTGCAGTTGTTAGGTCGCACCGACGCTTTTCCCAAGCAGGGCACATCGTTGGTTGGGGAATCCCCAACAGGGGGGTCGTATTTGGCCGCCAGGAGAGGGGGGGGGTCGTAGTGAGTGCGGCAGCCAGTAACGAGCAGCGCAAATTGTCAATGTGCTGAGTCCTGTACAACGAAACTTGCTTTGTAGAGAACTCGGATATGCAAAAAAATAGTACAAAACTTTCATTCATCAAACTAATCCGAAATAACTGCAAATATTAATTAAGTAAGACTTATCTCGTAAGTCCGTTGGTCGACATAAAACAGTCACAACTCAACTCTGGTTCGGCTGCATGATATGGCGTGTCCGCGGTCGCGCTTGGCGCTGAGCCAACCTGTTTTTTCTCGACAAGCGACAGGACTACCATATCGTTCATATCAGACGTTTTCCAGCAGTTGGTCTCCTTTATCGGAGTCAGCGATTGGCAGAGCACGAATCTGGCAGCGTTGACAGGGACATGTTCCATCATACGCAACGGAAAACACTGTAAACAAGTGCACAGGCTCGCCATGGACCTCCCTGAACCTTATAGACACATTTGCTCGCGTGAACAGACATTACGCACAAGTTGCACCATCCCATCACCTCTGCGCGGCCCTCAGTGCGCGGCGCATCCAAAGTTGGCGTGATCGGCGCTAAACGAACCATATCCTGCTCCTGCTCCACCACAGGATACGTTCTACATGCGTTCCTGGCTATTCGAACACGCTCACTTGAAACGGTACACAGGAAACGGGTTTTTCGCGCAGCTGGGAGTGTTCCTCAAGAAATCCCCATAGCGAGATCTCATGAATCCCGAGAGCTTCAGAAACAGTTCAAGAGGTTTTCAGAAAGAGAAAATCTTCAAAAGCACTTCGGATCCGTTCCATGAATTTGTGAAATGTTGAGTTACAAAAAAAAATATATTGGTTCAAACCTGTTCAACTTAAACTTCAACCCTTCACTCCCCATGGAATCCCTATGGGCAGATTTCTCTGTGATTTTTGCGACCTTCATAAACGTTCCAGTACATTTAGGAAGTGCAATCCTTCCTCTACACGAATACGGTCTCCTCTTCCACAGGTCCGCTTTTGAGGAAGTTATGGTCCTTCAAAGACACCCTACTTTGCTGAAAATTCTCGCTCCATGGCTAAAATTGCCGAACGATCTGCGGTCACATCTGCAATTACATGCGCTTCTGCTACCGTACTCCAATAATCGGGGTAATGCATTTTTACGGCGGTTTGTATAACTGTTACGTAGTGAGACAAGCCTAACTTTCTCTTTTCCTCGTCCTCAATCTTGGGAATAGACGTTGTTAACACTGTGGTCGCTGATGGCCGCTCCCAGAGAGGGAGTCCACCTCAGGTTAACGAATGCTCATTGAATTTAATCGCGATACATCGTTATTATTACCATGTGTGTTTCAAAACGGCCATCGAAGAAGTTCATCATACGAGTTTCTCATAATACGATTGTACCGTTTTTGTTTGCAATCATCTCTGTATTGTTCTATTATGTCATGACTTCAAGTCGTCCATTTAGTATGGGCACCTTCCGCAGCAAAGAGAACAAAGAGGCACAAGTAGAATTTCATAGTGGGCGTTTCATAGTTTCATTTAAGGCGAAAAAAACCGAACGGCAAAAAAAGGGGGGTCGTACCGAACCCCCAAAAAAAAAGGGGGGGGGTCGTACAGGCTCGACCAAAATCCCCATCGAATGCTGTGCCCTGTTCCCAAGACTTTTGAAGCATGTCAAAGAGCAACTTCGGACGATATTTTTCTTCGACTAAAATTGGGTCAATCCGCAATCGAGACAGCTCAACAAATTAACCAGGTGTGGGGGCCCAATAGTGCTAGAGAAAGCACTGTGCGGCAATGGTTCAACAAATTTCGTTCTGGAGATTTCAGCCTTGAAGATGAACCTCATAGCGGTCGACCTAAAGCAATATCTGACGAGGATTTGAAGGCGTTTGTGGAGGCTGACCCATCCCAAACAGTTCGAGAGATTGCAGAAGCTAGGCGTTGGCAAATCCACTGTTGCGGATGGTCTGAAACGCATTGGGAAGGTGAAAAAACTCGACAAGTGGGTGCCCCACAATTTGAGTGACCGGCAGAAATTGGCACGTCTCGAGGTTTCCTCTTCACTGCTTTTGCGCAACAGAAACGACCCGTTTTTGGACCGAATTGTCACCTGTGATGAAAAGTGGATCATGTATGATAACAGGAGACGTTCCGGACAGTGGTTGGATGCCGACGAACCACCGAGGCAATTTTCCAAAGCCGAATTCTCACGAAAAAAAGATTATGGTCGCAGTGGTGGTCATCGGCTGGTGTGATAAACGCAACTATGAAATATTTGTCACAGGCCAAACCATCACAGCAGAGTCCTACTGTGAAGAAATCGACGAAATGTACCGAAAATTGCGTCAGCTGCAGCCAGCACTTGTCAACAGAAAGGGTCCGATTCTTTTGCATGACAACGCCCGCCCACACGTTTCACAAATCACTATCCATGAATTGAACGAACTGGGGGTTGAAGTT